ATAAATCAAATAAAATACCAACATATGTGGAACAATTCTGTAGAATAACTTTCAAATAAATTTGTGTAAAAATAGAATTTTCAACATGTGATTTCTTGTCAAACGAAAATACAGAATGAACCAAAAAGGCAGAAGCGCAAGAGAAAAAAAGTTTACCGCCAAAATATAGACGACCAATAGGAAAGTTGTTTACTGCCTACGTAATGCATAAAATTAAAATCCACCAATGAAAAAAGAGTTTTTAAAAAAAGGTCAAATTCATTCAACCTTATAATTAAGTTATTTTAGTTCAAAATAAACAAAATCGGGCACACCGCATCGGTAGATATATTAGCTCTAAGACCCGTCCGATTGTGGTCAACTTTAGCCACACTCCTGATAAATTGAATGTTAAGCAAAAAGTGTTCGAGAAGCGTGATGACATTGCTATCAGGGGTCTCGGACCATTATCCGAAAAGAAAATTCAGGAGCGGCGGAAAAAAAATAATTCCTGAACTTGTTAAAGCCAAAAATCTGAATAAAACAGCTGTCTTTGGTTTATGACAAGCTATATATCGACGGACGTTTGTTTGTATCATCTTCAGATTAGGACAGCGATGAGAAGCAGTTTAGCTTTTTTATTATGGAACGTTCAGGGGATTAAGAATAAACTAGACGATCCAGATTTTTTGAATTTCGTTAAATCATATGATATACTATTGTTGACTGAAAACATGGAACTCCCAAAACAGCAAACATTGATATTGATGGATATTACTCTTTTGTTTGTGCGAGACCAAAAACAAACCGTAGAGCGAAGCGTTTTAGTGGAGGAGTTATAATATACTATAAGGAAGAGTATCGAAATAAAATTGATCTAATAAGCTTAAATTCAAACGGTATTGTTTGGTTTAAATTAAAGAAAGAGCATTTTTGGGACATTTAATGACCTTTATTTTTGCACATGCTATATACCCCCTGAAGAATCTAATGTATATAAAAAAATGTTAGTTCAAACTTATATCAATTCGATTTTTTTCGAACAGTAAATACTGACATAAGGCACTATTGTTTTCTTGGGGACGTATTTTTGAACATATGACCTCAATTCAAGGACAGGTCAAAAAAACCCGACTTCGTGCAAGATATTAATCTTGACCGTTTATATATCGATTTACCCGTGAATAACCAGTCCGTATTTTGATATTCCTGCACGCATTTCTCAAGATAATCATGTAAATGGATTTAGTAAATCGTCTGCTATCCCTTTGTAAAGAAAATGACATTATTATTGCAAATGGTCGCCTTGAGAGGGGTGAATTTACCTGTTCATAATTTGAGTAGCAAAAAAAAATGCAGCTAGTGTTGTAGATTATCTCATAACGAGTTACACTAATTTTCCTTGTATATCGAGTATGAATGTGCATAGTTTAAACTGAATTTTTCCGATCACTGCCCAGTATCTTTTTCTATGAATAGTGAAAATAACTTTTTTCTATATGACTGATATTTTTTACGTATGATAAAATTGTATGGGAAAATACAGACCCAGAACAGTTGCAAACTTTATTAGAGGAAAATAGATATACCTTTGATGAGTTGTCACATAAACTGAACACAGGTGAAATTGATTTAAATGTATGTATAAATGAATTTTCAAATACAGTATAGGATATATCATTTAGGTTGAATGGTCGAACCCCAACACAAGTCAAAAAAAGAAAACATATTAAAAAGAAAGAAAGCCCCATGGTTTAATGAACAGTGTAAAAGTGCTATGGCTATATTTCAACGCAATAAGAGAATTTTTTATTTTGATAAAACTGAAATAAACAAAGTTAATTTTCTTAAAAGTAGGAGTGAATATTCAATTATTAAACGGGCTGTTAAACGTTCATATTATATTAAAGAGAGGTCCAAATTAAATATGAGTAAGAAAAGTCCAAGGAAATTTTGGAAGTACATAAATAAATTTAGAAATAGTAAAAAATCTAAATCATCAGATGTGAGTACAAATGATTTCGTAGAACATTTTAAGATTTTTTCTAATACAATACAAAATGACTTTTCATTTGACGATGTACATGAAGTGAGGTATGAGGAGGTAAACATTGATGAGCTTGATCGTCCTTTTGATATTGAAGAGGTTACAAAAACAATTGCATCTATGAATAGGGGCAAAAAGTTGCGATTATGACAGGAATGTAGCTGATTTTTCATCGATTCTAATAGTTTTATCTCCCCATACCTTGTTTCTATTTTTAATAAAATTTATGATTCTGGTTTATACCCAGAAGCTTGGTGTAAGGGTATAATTGTACCAATTCACAAAAAGGCGATGTAACAAAATCTTCTAATTACCGAGGCATTACCCTTGTGAATGTTATAGCTAAAATATTTTCTTTATTGCTTAGAAATAGATTGAATAAATTGTGTGAGCAAAATCATGTATTAAATGAAACACAATTTGGTTTTAGAGATAATCATTCTACCGCTGACTGTATCTTCTTACTTCATTCCATCATTCAAAAAAGTGTTGACTAATAAATCGAAATTGTATTGTGCATTCATTGACTATGAAAAGGCGTTCGCCACAGTTGTTAGAGATGCCTTATGGGTAAAGCTTTAAAAACCTTTTAAAACAAGGTGTCAGCTGTAAAATTGTTAATATTGTTAAGTCTATATAATTATGCAAATGTTAAATCTTGTGTACAAGTGTCTGCTATGAATTTTTCAAGATTTTTTGACGTGTCTATCGGTTTTAACAAGGGGGAACCACTCTCGCCCATTATTATTTATTCTTTTCGTTAATGACATTAATGAAAATATTGATTTTAACCTATTAATTGAAAATGACCTAAATCAGTTAAATATATATGTATATGCTTCTTTTTGCTTGATGATATTGCTTTATTCACAACTAACCATGAATCTCTTTGCAAGCTCAGTTAGATGTTGTTAATAACTATTCTATTAAATGGGGCCTTAAAATAAATGTTAATAAAACAAAGATATGTATTTTTGAAAAAGAAGATAAGTAAATAATTTTGTGTGGAAAATTGATGATGAAGAAATTGAGGTAGTAGATAATTTTACTTATCTTGGTGTAAATTTTACTTATACGGGAAACATGAAAAAGTCTGTTAAAGCATTGTCAGATCAAGCTCTTTAAGCCTATAATTCACTTTTGTCACTTTTTGATAAAGTAAATTGTGATATAAAAAATGAAGCTTGCACTTTTTTGATTCTTTGGTTTGTACCAATTATTCTCTATAGCCCTGAAGTATGGGGTATTTATGAATTTCCTGAAGTAGATAAAATACATATAAAATTTTGTAAACTTGTTTTGGGTGTTTAAACAACAAAACTCCTAATTTAGCTGTTCTTGGTGAACTGGGTAGGTACCCACTTTCTGTTATTTGTAAAGAAAGAGCTATTAAATATTGGTTAAAAATAATGAAAAATCAGGATTCACCTATATATAGATTATATTTAGATCTTAGAAATGGAAATAATGTTAATTGCTGGGCCTATAAGATTAAACAACTGATGAGACAATTTAGGCTACAGTAATCTTCTAGTGAATTTTAGGCAAGATGTAAATTATTTTCCTGCTATGAAACAACGTATTAGAGATCAGTTTATACAATCTTGGAATGAGACAACATTGAATATGTCTAAATTAGATTACTATAGAAAGTATAAAATATGTTTTGGTTATGAAAGATATCTGAGCATTATAAGAAATGATAAATAACGAAAATGTTTAACATGTTTCATAATGTGTTCTCACAACCAAGAAATTGAATTCGGAAGATTTAGTGGTTCAAAAAGAGACGAGCGAATCTATGTGTAAAATGTGTAATACAAAAATGATTGAATCAGAGTATCACTTTTTATTAACTTGTCCTGCATATGTTGATTTGAGAGCTAAATATTTGGGTAATTGTTCATGGCCCAATGTACATAAATTTGTTAATATTATGTCTTGTAGTAGTAAATGTAAGCTGTATAAAACTGCAAAATACATATATGAGGCTTTCCAGTTAAGGAAGATATGTCTAGAAACGGAAGCTGCTTCTTAAACTTTGAAAATGTACATGTTTGTTTATATGTTTATATGCTTATCTTGTAAACTATGTATGTTATATGTCTTGGCCATATTCGTCATTTATATTTGTTAAATTGGCCAAAGGTATGTTAAATATGCCGATTTTCCAAATAAAAACTGAAACTGTTGATAACACACATCAATACATAGGCTGTAATTTGACTTACACCTTTCAGACTTGCACGAGTCAATTAATTCCTGAAACCGAATAAACGATTTTTACGATGTGTTAATAATTATACATAATGACCGGAAATTAAAATTTCAATGAAACGTGTGAATCACGAGTGACAACATCTCACCATGATGTCGCCGACCTTTGATCAGTCAGCTGTTTTCACACTTCGCCTAATTGAGATGAAAATATGTTGGACTTTAATTGACGGGACCAACTTTTCTTTTCGACTAAACAGGAGTCTCGGTAAGTCAAAATTTGAACTAAGCGGAATTAAAATACAAAGACAAAGAAGGAAATTTGACGGGACTTTAGAAATTCTTCGACTAACGCGGAATTTTTAATAAGGCGATTTTGACTTATTGAGAGTCGATTGTATACCATAGGATAAGGGGAGGGGGTAATTTGTCACTTCTCCCGTAAGCAGGTTCCCAGTTTTCAAAGTGATTGGGAAAAGGTTTTAAAAAAAAAATTTTATGTAGTTTTACCCCTTCTGCTTTTTAAAAATCAAATAAACTGCACAAACCTTTTATTCATTATATTGTTTGGGTTATAATAATATTTTTTTTGGAAAAAATGGAAAAATTATTCAAAAAAAAAGTCACTTCCAACTTTTAAAACCCGTTTTTAAAATTCAAAATGCAAAAATTTTTACGAAATTTTTAAAAAAAAATAAAGGAAGGGAAATACAAAAGCCCCTATGAAATTTTTCTTTCGATCTTAAGCATTTTTTAAAAAAACAACAGATATTTTTGTTTAGTCCTATACAATGATTACAAAATGTACAGTTTTGCAAATAATTTACTTACAACAATTAATTATATCCTTAACAAAACATATATTACATGAATGCCATGAAATACTCATTTGCAAACTTGATCCAAATAAAAAAATACCACTGCAATTAGTTGGCTTTTTAATAAAGACTCATGTTCGGAAACTCCTATGCCTAGTATAGATAAACTTTTAACTAGCTGCATGATGAAAAGAGATAAGCGCATACCGAAATGGTCAATGTGCTATGCTTGCAAATTGCCACTGTCGTTCAAGCATTTTGTAACATCAGTTCTGCATTAATCTTTATATAAAATTATCAGAAGTGGTTAAGATATCCATTTGTAATTGTGAGAAAAGTTCGAGATATCAAACAGATCTTAATCACGAGTGTGCTTTTACTTGTGCAGCATGTGTCATCATAATTTACAATATGACTGGTTGGCTATTTATTATATGTTACAAAGAACAGCTTATGAAGTAAAAATTACAAATAAAAAACATAAATTCACGCACTCACTAAAAAAACACAACATCAGAACTATTTCATCAGTTAAAGCATCAAAAACATTTTACTCAATGAAAAATTAACAGAATTATAAGTATTAAATAAATACAGCAATAAAGACGTGTTCCCTGTTAAATATAACTGGAAAAATACCTTATATATGAATGTACATATATTTCAAAAAGTTTTTTCATATACATGTTTGTTTTATAAAGAGATTATTATATATAAAACTAATTGATAGTTTTTGAATCTGGATATATAGATGCCTTTAATTTTCTGAAAACTGTTTTTGATAATTTTCCCTATATCTAATTTCGCTGTTATATATGTAGGGACTTATACTTTATCTTTTAAATTGCTGAATAAACGAGACTGTTCAATGACCGGTTTCGCAGCAAAGCTCAACTTTTTTCCCAATCCTTTCGCTAATTTGCTCGAGACCACTATGCAATGGCACTGTGGCATATGTTGGGTTTTGACTTTCTTCTACATTTTGTTTAGTGTCTTCATCTTTTTTATACAATTCTCCCATAATCATTGAAATTGGAATGACACTTTCCTGCCCTGGGACATCAGTACAGGCAATAGCACCGCTATCACCAGGTTGAGCGAATCTTTTTTCTACGATGCCCTCTCCATCTGCGATGTCTTTCACTAGAATAAGATTATAATCCATTTTGCCGTTGCAATGAAAATCTGGTACTGTAATTATTCCTTTACCAGGTTTTGATTTAGCTCCCCAAATATGCACTTTCCGCCCCGTTAACTCTTTCGGTTCAATGATACGTTTTTCTCCTGAAATTTGTTTACCACTGACTGTTTTAAATCTTGTGTCACATTCATCTTTTGTTATAGAAAGGGCCGCTGCTGCTATATCATGTCCGTCACCTTTCAAAGTGCTGCCTATAATCTTACCAACGCTTTTGAGTTCACCACCTTCCATTACATGCAACTCTTTTATTTGTTCACGTGATGGTACTAAATGTTTTGAGATTAGTCCAAACATCACTGTCGCCTCGTTTTCTGTTTCGTCTGCTTTTGCAAAGCAGCCAAAACTTCCACGGCGAGAATTGGCATGGCCCACAGCGATTTCGTCACCGGATGCTAAGTATTTTTTCATAGACATCGGAACAATTTCGTACTCATGGATTTTGAAGTCCTCTAATACCTCACGGAGCATCTTTTGCTTTTCTTCTGTACTAAAACTTTGGCCATCTTTAACAGCAATTTGTAGTTTTTGCAAACGACATCCAACACCACGAATACCTTCAAATTTTGATGACAGGTGTCTACATATCTACATCATTGAAAAATAAAACAATGTTTTGTAAGTCACTATATTTTTGTATCAATAAACATCTATACATGTATTGCTAAACGTTGACATGCTTGGTTGATGTCCCAATAATAATAAAGGCTATTTAAAGTTGCATACCTAAATGAGCCAAAATATTTCCCGATTTAAAGAAAAGTAAAAATATTCTAGTAATACTTTACATGTTACTAGTATATGCTATTAGATAAAATGAAAACATGAACATTGGCTTTGCAAATTAAAAAATATTACCTCTTTTAAGTCAAGGTCACTTCTGTATTTTGGAATGTTCGGAATATCGTCAATACTGACGTCACTCATATTAAAAAGCCCTATAACCTCTTCAAAAAGACAAACTTTAGTTTCCGTTTTAAGAGTTGAAAGCATGTCTGTTTTAAGACAAATAATGCCATTTGTCTCATTAGTCTGCTCGTCATCTAAAAGGGTAATTACAAAGATTTATAGTATATATACAAAATTTTATTTTTGTTTAACTTACTACGTTGATAAGTATATTGTGACAAGATATTAAATTGTTGATAAATGTTATTTTATTCAACTAAGTTAAAAACTTAATAATACATCATATGATAAAAGTGTGCAACAACATTTGTATGATACATCAGTATTTTGAAATAGGTACTAAAAACGTGTTTGTTGACCACTTCTTGACCTTGTATTATTCATATTACTTGCCTGTTATTGGTTTTCTTACCTCTGTTAGTTGCGTTTTTGTCGAGACGGTTAGATTCAATATCCACTCCTAATGCCTCACAAACTGACTTGAGACTTTGGAAAAGCCAGTTTTCTAAGACTGAATCTATCTTTTTCCATGCATTATTTATGTGAATGGCATATGTGTTTTTGCATCTTTGAACAGCTTTTTCTTCCAAGTCAGTATCGCCTAGGATAAATGTGATGGTTGTCCTGTGTCTAATTTCTGTCCAAATATCTTGATAGTTAAAAGGTGTTATAAAGCAAGAGACAGTCGATTGATCTTTAAATTGTACAAATTGTTCAAGTGAGACACTATCTCTGATCTTTCCTTTCTTAGATATTTCTTGAAGAAAAACATCGATCATTTTGTCATTTTCTGAGGTTGTACATATATAAAAAAGAATATATCTGTCATCATGTCCCATGCAGTTTGATTGAAGAACAACTTTATACCGCATCACAACATCCAACAGATTGCCTAATGCATACTCATACCTTGGCAACTCACTCAACTGTACTTTTATCTCCTTTATGCGAATATCCTGTAGATATATAAATACATAAATGCTTTTATATGAAACAAAGTGTTGTTATGTGCAAAGATGATAAAGTTAACTTTTCATAACATATTTATGTCTTTGACATTCATTTAATGCAATTTATTTATGGAATTATACTTACTGATGTTGAAAATTCTACTTTCTTCTGCAAGTATTCTGAAAAAGGAAAATGTTGGCAACACAATTATAGCAATTAAATATAGCTAAGTCATTTATCTAATGATTTTTTAAAGTTGTTGCAGACTACATATTTAACTTTGTATGACAGTGTTAACTTACTAACTGCTCAAGTTCTACAATAATTATAATATACAAACACTAGTGTTCTGATACTTTTAAGGTTAATATAATTATCATGATTCAATTTCCGTTTTTATAATATCTTTACTTGCTGCCACATTTTCGTAATCTGTCCGTCTTTTGTTTGGTTCAGTAGGATCTTGGTAAAGTTCAATGGCACCGTCGAGGTCTTTGACTAATTCTTCGGTAAGCTCCCCGTTAAGGTAAACTTTTATCCAGGTTGAGCCTTTAATTCATAATACTGTATATTATTTATTTTTTAGATTTCATTTATACAAACTTCTCTCTAACATGAAAATACTATGAAACACATTTTACAATAACATGAAAATAATTTTACGAAGCATACATGACTCCGAAAGTATATCTAATTTTATAACCCACGTACGTAAAATCCGACAACATCGTTTTAAAGTAAAATATGAAACATGCACTTTTTCACTACTTTGACAACAGTAACAGACATTTGTTATCTTTACAAAAAAAAAAGATATGCTGAAATTCTTTTACCGATGTACTAAATTGCAATACATATACATAGTGATAAAAACTTTTAGGGTATTTATTATAAGTTTGATAACAGTTCACAACCTTTTTCTATTTCATCTCCAATACTGACTAAAAGCTTGAGTTCTGTGTTACCATCAGAATTTCTATCTTTATCTGCACCGGATGTTTCCAAAACCTTTTTGCACGTCAAGACATTAATATCATGAACTCGGCCTAGCAAATAAATTTTTATAAAGTGCATTGTAATAAGTATTATCGTTTTGTCAGAGCAAGTCTTTGTAAATTTTGAAAATAAATTCACAATTTTTCTTTAGGAAATTATACATCTTTGATATTGGTTAGTGTTGAAACACTTAATAAACAGGGTATTAGCTTTCTTATTGTGAAAAAAGTGTGTTGCACCAAAGACTATTTTAATACATTATTGTTACAATCAATACATTTAAAATACATGTACCAGATAGTTTAGCTTCAATTTCTGTTGAAAACATGGATGCGGCTGATAATATACCAAAATCGTATGCATATTTATCATGAAGTTTTTTTGCGTAACCTTGGTGTACACCCTGTATTTTCAAAATAGCAGCTCTCTTTGCTTAGAATCAGTTGGACAAATGTATTCAACAGTAGAACATTTACTACGAAACATAGACCACACAATAATCTGATGGCATAAAGTGCAGACAGAAAAGTTAAAAACAATAGAGGATGAATTTAGTATGATATGTACATACCTATTTCTTCTCTCTTAACCCTCTTTGCTGGCGGGTCATATTGCTCTAAACAGTTAACAATATTCTCAGTTTCCTTGGAACTTAAGTCTTCTTTTGCTTTTAGTTTCTTGCAGCATATGGCTGGAATTATAACCGTTTGTTACATAATTATAACGTTAATAAGTTTATTAAGATACCAGGAAGGAATAAGATATCCTTCACGATCATAAAACATCTATGTAGTCTTCCAATACATCAAATGATTGGAAACATTAGTTTAGTGTTAAAAGGCAATGCAAGTATATAGCAATACATTCAATAATTCGAATATTGAGTCTAATGGCCATTTGCTTCTCACTGCTGATTCAGAAATCGTGTGGGTACTCCGACATTTGCGGAGAAATTGGTACTTACTGGAAAGCCGACTATTTTGACTGACCGCCAATATATGGTAAATAATTGCATAAAAACGGTGTACAAATATTAACAAACAAAAAACAATCATCAATAGCGGACATGACATTGTTAAATAAGTAAAAATTAAATAAAATGAAAAAAAAAATTCAGCTATTGGTGAAGTTTGGGCCTCTTTTGCAAAAATTACGTATTCATCCGTTATTCGTGGATTTTTCTTGACAGCTATTTCAGTTAAAAGAAATAATTAAAAATATTGAAACTATTTCTGTCTCAAAGCTTAATTGTATATAATAAAATGATAATTATAAATAGAAGCTTTCTGATGTCATTTACTTTGCTACTTGCAGCGAGGAAAAATTGATATCCCGCGCGAGAATCAATTTCCAACGCTACTTGTAGCAAAATTCAAAGTCTCAGAAAGGACTTTTAACAAAATATCCACGATATGTTTGGAAGCTGCTGTTTGATTTTTAGAGCCGAATATGACGTCCTTACTTTACGGAAATTATAGTGCCGCTTTTTTTGAATGAAAGAATATTTATTTATTTATTTTGGTCTCATCTATACATGTTAACATATCATTAAAATACACAATACAAACATAAAATACTATTATAGCATTCTAAAAAAGAATAACAGGTGACTGATTTTTACTTCTAAGGGTGACAACTCTCTAGACAACAAAACAGGAGTATTTTATGCACTACAGATTTGTCCCCCTTAACAACAAGAAATATTTGTATTTCCCTTTTATATACATAATGATAAGATACAGATAAAATAAAGTTTAAAAAGTATCCTTGATAATCATATAAAAAAAGGGAAAAACAGAAATAAAAGAATTGAGATATAATAAAATGCCAAACAATTCCACACTCTAAAGAATGGGGGTAAAATAATGGCGTGTGATGACATTAAGATTGCCAAGGAAACTTTAGACATTATCAAAACATTACATGTATCACTAAAACTATATACTACAGGGGTATTGTAAACACTAGGACAATATATCACATATTCAAGACAGGGATTTTTATGATAACTAATGATATAAAACAAGTTTTCTTTTATTTAGGATGTTATAGCAGGTTTTGGCAGTTTTTGAAAGCAGATTTTTAAGTATATATTCTTTCGAATAAGGTGTAACAATATTACAAATCTATCAAAATCATACTGTCTTAACTTCTGACTGACCTTAAAATTCCAATTTTTATATCTGTCATTAATTTTGACAATCTATTTGCCAGCATGAAACTTTTCTTATTAAGTCCGTTTGTATCCATAAAAGTGTATCTACACCAACTTGACAAAACAGTGTTCCATAATGAGTACTTAATAGGTTTGCAACCAATATGTCCAGAAGTTGCTGCATTTGGAGTATATCTCCCGACATTTAAAAAAATAACAAGCAACCCTATTCTGTACTGCATTTGTACAAGAAAAATTGTCATAGCCTCAAATAGTCGAAGCTATCTAATTACTGGTAAAACAGTACCCTCATACACTTTTGTAAAAGCTTTATACGGGATGCCTCCAAATGCTTATATCCTTGATATTAATATTCCTAAAGCTCTATGGGCAGACTTTGATACTGTTTTAGCTGTTATTGCAATGTCTAAATGTTTGGGTAAAACAAACCCCAGATACTTATACTGTTTAACATATTTCAATGATACATCACCAATATTAAAAATAAATTCGGATTGAGAAAAGACTGATTTCTAAAGTGTGCAATATTAGATTTAAAAGGATTGACAAACGTGCCATTATTGTTAAAGAATAAGTCAAGTATATTTAACATGTTTTGTAGTTCAGAGTCAGACTCGGCTATCAGTACAATATCATCTGCATAAAGCAAGATTGGAACATTTTCTCCGTCAATATCCACAATGTAAATGATTTTTACGAAATTCTTTTAATGCAGAATGTTTACTTAATTTTTTCAACAATGAAAAATAGGCAAGACATGTCTTTAAGATGTTTTACTTTTATTTCATAACAACAAAGTAAATCGTTTATACCATTTTGTAAATTTTATTCAATAATTCAATGTACATGTATTTTTTGTCAGTTGTGTACAATAAACTTAGAAAAAACGATTTCTATAAATCTTTCATAAACTGTCTGCCATGTTTATTAAATTGAAAGGGGCTTTTAATTGCCTTTCATAAGCATACCAGTAAATTCAAGTTTAAGGTTTTTCACACTGAACTAAGCACTTAAAGATAAAGGTGTTTGTTTAGTTTATAATAAACTTTGTTTCCAAAAGTGAAAAGAATATTTGAACAATAACAACAACTGACTTTGTCCCAAATGTATAAAAAAACATGCATCACATGAGACAATAATCGAATAAACAATTCAGAAATTTCTAATAGTTAGTTGTCTAAGTGAGACTGTTATATAAATATATCGAGTCATGTAATGTTAAAAGTAAAAAATACAAACCTAGTTCCTCTTTTTGTTTCGTTACCACGGTAGCATTCTCGGCACCCTGGTCCCTTTTCCCCTTAACTTTTACGAAATACTCATTCTTACTTGACGTTTCGTTCTGTTTTACTTTTCCGCTAAGATTATGACTGTCACTTCTCAGATATAACGTAGATGTATCCATTTTACCGTATGCTGTCAAAAGTAGAAATTCTTTTATGATTTCATTATTATCAAGTAAAACATAATTTGGATGTGATAAAGAAAACAGTCATATAACATACTACAAAAACAAAATGTTCGGCGTCGTTAAAATCCAATGATTGTTTGTCAATGTTAATGAATGTCAATGATGATTAATGTTTTATACACGGAATAATGGATAAAGCTGATAATAATAATTAATAATGCGCATATCTATTTTAACTTATATCTATGATATCATTTCAACTGATGCCTTTGAATACGTAACAAAGGAAGTCGCTAAGGGTATATCCTTAAAATCGTTAGGATAGTAATGCGCAGTATTCCCCTTTTGTATTATTAGTTATGAAAACTTTGTCAGAGTTTTGTCTTGTGATTAAATTGATTTCTGCCAATGAAATGCATGCCTGATAAATTAGGCTTTAATAGTCAAATTAGCTTTATCAGGCACAGTATCGACCTTTTATTCTTAGCCTACCGCCTAACCGCAAGAAATTTTGTAATATATTTTAATAGTGCAACTGTATTGGATTTACTTATCACCCTTTATATATACATTATCTGTCTAAATTCATCATATCTTATGTATCTGCCCAGTTGACTTTCGGAAATAGACATATAATAGTTCTCTCGTCCCAGTCAGTGAAAAAGACAATAAAAATGTAATCGTTGATTTGAGAGACATGATAACAGAGAAGAAACACTATACATGCTATAAATGAGAATGTTGAGCCAGTTCCAATGTGTAGTGCAGTTTGTGACTGTATATAAAGCTGCACTGAAACAATATTTTTGTGATAGTTGATTTGCAGTTGCTATGCTCTGACAACTGTTCTGCTAGGTTTTGTTTTTGATCTAGTCCATAACAGAATTTTGTTCGTGCCCTAGATCTTAAGTTATTGCTCCGCTTATTTGTGTTTACTATTTTGTTTTGTTCATGGGCCCGGATTTGACCAATAAATCCCTTCGATTTACAGCTAAAAGTAAATCCGCATTCAAAAACTCGATTTCTATATTGGTTTCCCCGTCGGTGATTCGCAGCATGTCATATTAATGAATGAGAACAGGAAAGCAGTTCTGCTGTACATGAATTCGAAAGCTATAATTAGCTATAAATGTTCTGATTTTTGACACTTAGGTTATAAATTTGTTATTTCCCCTTTTTAGTAGTGCATGAAATTATAATTTGTTACATTTTGAATGACATTTACACACAGCATATCAGTAATCTATTAGTGATTGAATTTGTCAATATAAAGAAGATTTCAGGCAGAAGACTTTAACAATTTTGCTTTTGATAATTATTCTTAAATTTATATTTATGAAATTAAAAGTTTAATAATAACATGTTGATTTATTGGTTGTTTTGAAATAATTAAACTTACGTATATAACGTTACATTTCAATTAAGGGTATGACTTTTCCGACTTCCCTTCGTGACGTGCACGTCGCTCGGAAGGCATAGGTCACACCAGAGGGGTCACCTAGTTAGGTCACTTAGCTGGTGTGACCTAACCAACGACGAAGGGTGTGGCCCTAAAGAGAGCTGCTGCTCCCGGAAGAGGTGCCTTTCCTCTATTGTCAACCTTTGTTTAAGAAGCGAGGAATTGGGTCCTAGAGAAGGTCTTCGACGAACGACAGCATGAAAAGACCTCCGTCGCGGCTCTACGACATCGACGACGTTGCAGGCGAATAAGTCCTCCGTTGCAGGCGAATAAGTTACCAGCAATCGTAATAGAGGCCGACTAGTCTGGGACATATGGGAAACCGGCGCCCAGTATAAATAAAACCTAAAACAACAACAAAAGGGTATGACTGATGACATGTTCGGGGTCCGTACTCGACAGCGAAAACTGCATTTTGTGGCCTTACGAGCGGATGGACCCTCATTAAGCATAGGCTACAGATAGATATCATGATAACAACAGAAACTTTGATCTGCAGTTTGAACATGAAGTGTAATGTTTTTTTATGAATGGTATTAAAGTAATTCAACAAAAAATATATATTGATCTTCCAATAAATCTTCCAATAATTAACAATAGTTTTTTTTATATGTTACCAATGTCAAATAGCTTTCATATCTTTGACTCGCACGAACATGATGTTAGTGAATTTCCTCATACCTGCCTAAAATTCAGGTAACAGTCTTCTATTATATTGATAAATACTGTATCACCATGTAACGCGCGTATAACAAACAAAAAAAATCATGAATTTGGTCTTTTTGAAATTCATCCCATTTTTTCATTCCAGAGTGTGTTCTACTTTCAGTATTGAAAGAATCATTTTTTTTTTAATTTGACATGACAAAAATGCATGTAATATTACTTTATTATAATATTAGTCCCTTTTGTTACTATTTGTATAATTGTTACAATTATAATAATAATAAAAAACAGACTTTGATATTTTTATCATCTTATGTTACTGACTACAGTAGTGACACAAACAGAACACAGTACAGTCATGTCACATAACATTTACAAGTCTTGTAAGTCTTGTTTGTATTCAATGGAATTACTTTCCTTACCAGGTAGGCATCAGTGAAAGCATTTTTCATAATAAATATCTTTCCCCTCTTTTTAATTATGGACAGTGCATAAGATAAGTATAATTATGCAAAAAATGGTTTACAAAACATTCAGAAAAAATCTACAAATAGTACTTTATCTGAATATAACATGACCTGTGCGTAGGAATAATTTGGTATGGTATCTGTAATGAGCGCATTTTTTGCGCGGAACTTCTCAATTGCTGCATTGCAGCAACATTTGTACTTGTATATATTATTGTCTCATAAGTCATCAATTCTGTCATATAACTCGGTGACATCTTATTTAAAGTTTTTAAAACAAGCACCGCCGTGTGGTATTATCATTTGTTCAAGGAACAGTAACCATTTAGAAGCTTTGAATAGCTTCATTGACGGAGATATGTGTGGCTGGTGTAAAATGATTTTAGCAATTTGTTCTTGTAATAATATTATACAAACATTATTTTTCTAGTTTGTGTTTCCTTTTCCACATATACGACAAAAGTCCATAATGGGCAATATATATGCATTGTAAAACATTAATTTCATATCAAAGTGCAAAAAACACGATTTATTTTCAATTTTTCCGTTGAGATTTTTACCAATTTGCAAGTGCCATTTTAAGGTGTTATTTATGCACATACCCAGGACCTTTTGAAGTTACATTTTCAAGAAAATTTTTATTTATCTTAAATGCAATTTTCTAATTATTTGTACTGTTTGTCTTGTTACTTTTACCAAACATTTTGAATTTTTCTGGATTTAAGGCTATTATATATTGATTTTGCACCATTTCTCAATATCACTAAAATGATGTTGAAGTTTTAATTCTACTTTTTATAAATTTTCTATGGACTCACGATGAGTATGGTCGTCTGCATATAGATCAATTCTTATATCATTACCAATGAAAGCTATGTCATTTATGTATATAAGAAACAATATAGGACCTAACATTTAACCTTGTGGAACACCGGAAATTATTTTCATTGTCTGGATTGAAGATTACCTACCTTAACCAGTTATATTCTGTTAAAAAAGATATGACTTAAAAACCTTAATGGCATTTTCAGAAAAATGATAAAGCTTAGGTTTATGCAGAAGTATTTTTTTGCGCGGAATTTTTCAAACAATGGTATTTAATCATTTTCTTAAAAAGAAATAATTGTTTTATTTCACTTAAATAAAAAAAAAACAAAAGACATAATTATCATTATTTATGAATGATACAGACGGATGACCTACTTATCGACATTCTCCAGTCTCCGGACTTTAAGAGTCACCGGTCTCCAAAGACATTCTTCTACTTTTTTATACGCCCAAAGGAATTTCGGCGTATATTGTTATGCACCTTGTTATCTGTCCGTCCATCAGGCTGTCCGTCCGTCCGTCTGTTAGCAGGTTTTCTAGTCCGGTCTGTAATTTTTGAACCGATGAACAGAAGATGAAACTACTTGGCAGAAATGTTAACCAGTATGAGACTATGTACAGAGCGCAGGCTTGACCTTTCTGAGATCAAGGTCAAGAACACACTTAGACGTTTTATTTCACTATCAAAATTGTGTGTTCGCTCTGTATCTTTTGAACCGTTGGAAACAAATTAAAACTTTTTGGCAGAAATATTACTTATATTGTGACGGTGTGCAGGAAGCAAGTTCAGACGTGTATGTATATGTATTTACCTCCCTTTATTATCCAAAATCTACATCGGTTTCATACATTGGTTTCATATTTTGTAACTGTGGATTAATATAATGGATTCCGGTTAAACAAGAAGGTGTTTTCAATTCGTATATAGTCGAAGTGAACTTATATATTTTTGAAATGGTTGCATGAATTGAAAAAGAACAATATCAGACAGCCATGGCTTTCCATACGCTCTAGCAACACAGTAGCATCTTCTCAACACATCAGGAGCACCATGAAAGCGCGAAAGGAACGCCGAATGAACGCCGTAGTTATCCACGGCGCCTAAACGGAAATTGAGCGGCGTCTCTACCTTGCTTTTACTGCATGTGCACGGCGCTTTTACGGGGCTTTAAGATTCCAGCGCAGTATGAGCGCCGTAAAAGCGCAATGGAAGGACGCTGTGAAGACACCGTGAAGTATCCATGTCATCAAAAATATCACATTTTTCGTTGCATTCTCACGGCGCTTTTTACAATTTAACAACACCGCAGTGAAAGTGCAGTCTAGTGTGACAGGGCCTTAAGATAAACAAATTCACTAAATAACAATACGTTTTGTGTTTTTGAATTTCTGGTATAATATTATTTAAATGTTTCTTTGATTTTTTATCATTATAGAACCAACATCATTGTTGTTTTTAGTCAGTATATATACTCCGTGACAATTACATGGAGATGAATAATCACCACTTTGTGCTTTAAAAGGCATGACTGGTGACATTTCTAGGGTCTATACGCAACAGCGAAAGCTGTGGCATATATAATTGTCAATAATAATGCATGTGACAAGGACATAGCTCTTTGGCATGTATCAATAAAGATCATAATATGAGAATTTGGAATAAAACGTGTTACGGACAAATGTTATAAATGTGTATCCTCTATGTTTAAAAATTGTTTTTGATTACTTTGAACTTTTTTACTTAAAACAAATTTGCATTCGGGCGTATATTACCACATCTATGCGGTGCTCTTGTTTTAAAACAGTTTTGAAAAGAGTTATTAAAATAAATGAAATATCTTTTTAAAAATCATTAAAAATGTCCCCGCTGTAAACCATTTTAACTTGTTTTGTCTTGTTTAAATATAAA